ATCTATCCATCCATCCATCCATCCATCCATCATCTATCTATATATCTATCTATCTGAATAAATAAAACAGACACGTTTGTCCAGTCAGCATAATTTATTCTGAATTAGAACATGAACTGAAGGCACATTATTTTTCATTAGCATGAGAATTAATGCATATTTTAGGTCACACGTTTGGAATGCATTCTGATTACTTTCACAGAAACACATCAATAAAATCCTGTTTATAAAATCCCACTGCTGTTTCCTGGCCCAACATGGGTCAGCTATGCCTTACTGTTTACAACGTCAAATAAACACTAGATCAAGGTTTGGCTGCAAGATGGTATCGTTTAGATATATGGCATTACACAGTATATCTAAAGCATGTCTTAATAAAGAGTCAAGAACCACAGGCACAAATGATATTTTTGACAGTCAAACCTCTTCAAGACTGTACATTCAAGACTGTTACTCTCCCACATGATGTGTGGTGAAGGCAAAACACACGTAAACTCTAAAAAGCTTGCATACTACAAGTTAAGCCACTCTAGTTCTCTGGTCTGCTGTGAAAAACAAGAGTTTTGAATTACATTTGAAAACAATGCTGAAAAGTGAACCTTCGCTTTATACGATATCTGTTACATGGCGGTCTGCAGTATAATTTTAGATGTCCTGTCACCTTGATCTCATATCTTCAATATCCTGAATATTTCACCTCTGTTGTCAGTCTTTACAGATTTGTGAGAACGTCTTGAGGTAGGAGAGCAGAAGGAGAAGAGGAACAGAAAAACAAGCACGCTGAATCGTCTTTAAGGCATGGACTGATCCGCGATCAGCTTTTAAGAGGCTCTGGCTAGATCCGTTGACCTTTTTCACATCATTTACAACATTCAACTCATGTTAAAGAAGTAAACATTGTATTTGAGTGATCTGGCTCTTTGGTGACGCTTGCTTGGGTGAAACAACACTGTTCAGTTTTTAAATGCACAGCATGTCGTGTGGTGTTGATTTCAGAGATTGAAGCATACAGTTAATGTTTATGTCACTGTTCTTGTGCTATACTGTTACAGCAGGGTGTAATTATATGCAAATGACTTAATGTAAACAAGTAGAATTAAAAACAAAAATAGATCATATGATGTATATTAATATAGGCACTTAAAATAATCACTAACCCTGGATTACTACCAAATGTGAAAGTGCATGTATCGTATGTACCACTAGTACTTATCAAAAGTTATTAGGATTTTTAAATGTTTTTAAAGAAATCTCTTCTGCTCATCAAGGCTGCATTTGATCAAAAATACAGTAATATTGTGAAATATTACAATATGAAGTAACGATATTTGAATATATTGTAAAATGTCATTTATTTCTGCTGTATTTTCAGCATCATTACTCCAGTCTTCAGTGTCACATGATCCTTCAGAAATCATTCTAATACGCTAATTTGCTGCTTAAATTGTAATATTATTTAACAATATTACTGTTTTTACTGTATTTTTAAGCATATAAATGCAGCCTTGGTGAGCAGAAGAGACTTCATTAAAAACATGTTTAAAAAAATTATATTTCCAATCTTTTGACAATTACTGTATAGATAGGGTATAAAACACATTTATACCTTATAATTAAAAGCTTTGGTGATTTTTTTTTTTTTTGGATGAGGTTAATATATGGATGTTAGGTTCCAGGTTTAAATTTTTCTAAAACACATTCTTTTTCTGAAGTTTTACAGTGTTCAAATTAGGCCCTCAGCACTTAGTACATAATCACATGTTAGGAAAACAAAATTAAAATGCATACAATTGAAAAGTATAATATTTGCTGGTAAATTGCACTTTAGAAAATAATATTGTTAAAACTAGAATTACATTTTCTATGATAGCTAATGTTTAAAAAAAATAAAATAAAATTTGAGTGAGTCTCCCTAAAGATGTAATTTTCTATAAAAAAAAAACATTTTTAAAAAAGTCTAAGATTTAAATTGGTCTTTGGGGTAAAAACTAGTTTTCAAGTATTTGGTGTCTTTCTCACATTAGTTGGGGAAATCTCTCTCTCTCTCGCTCTCTCTCTGTGTTGATTAATTGACGGTAATTAAGCACATTCCAGTGACTTTCTGTGTCATCTGCTGTTGGCAGATATTTTGGCTGCGGAGTAAATGCTGTAATATGCTGTCATGAAGGCCAGACTCCGCCCATCAGCGTCACGCCTCCATTAATCCGTCTTCCACACCTTGTTGAGAACTTTAACCACTTCCTCGTAGATTATGAACACTATAGCCACGTCCATACACACCCGACCTAACCTGGGCACGGTGCCTTTGTAGAATCTACAGAAGAGAGAGAAATACATTTAAGTGAATACATAAGGGTGAATCACACAAAACCTTTCATTATGCATTACAGTAATGAGAATTTGGTTAGAGTATGTGCTTAACTGTCACGAAAGCAATGTCAAAAATGTGTATGTCTTTATGAAAAATAGAATTTCGTAATTTGTTCTTTTGATTTGGGGGTAAATTGTGAGTCCAGATGTTTTCACAAACAGTTAAATTTTTTTACAAACTAACCAAGTTGAGGTTGAAGTTCTAAAATGAGTAAAACTGAAATAAAGAAAATTAATTAAAGCTAGAAATATATATATATATATATATATATATATAAACTAATAAAAATTATAAAAGAACATAAAATTACTAAAATGTTAACTAAAATAAAATGTGAATGAAAATTTTGTCATGAAAATAATAAAAAATGTAAAGGTCTTAGAAATACTGTTTTTATGAAAAATATAACATCTTATTTTAATGACAAACATTTCATTTTAATTTTAGTTAAAATTTTAGAAATATTGTTATGTGCTTTTGTCATTTTTATTACATGCTTGCTTATGTAGCTGGTCCTTATTTAAAATTAAAACTATTATTGATTGTTTTCTGTAATTGAAACATTACATACAAGTATAAAACTTAAACTAAAATAAAATGAGAAAATTTTGTCATTTAAACTAATGGCAAAAATTCATAATGGTCTTGGAAATAGGGTTTATATATATATATATATAAAAAATATATATTTTTGATTTTGGGGTAAATTATGACCGCAGATGTTTTCATGAGATTGACCCATAGATATCTCTATCAGGTAGTTTATGCTGTTATCATGTTTACTTACGCAGCCGGTCCTTCATATTTCATGATTTTGATGGCGCAGTCAACCGTGCTCTTATATTTGTGAGCTTCCAATCCCTGTAAACATCATGAAAACAATATTCAACTGTCCTGTTGATGATTTACTAAA